ACTCCCAAGCTGCAGACCCTGTCCTTTAGAGGGAGTGCAACCCCATCCAGGACATACTAACTTCACACTAATGGACCATGTGGTGGTCCAAAACTAGGTATCCTTCAAAAACTGCAAGCCTCGGAGTTTTTGCAATGACTTCCTCCAATCAAATATGCATATATTAGCGGAAATCATTTTAAAATGCATTATATTAGGAAAATCACTTGCAATAGTTCTATAATACCTTTATTGGGACTGAGTAAATTATCATGAAATGGTGTGCAAGCTCTCGAGTTTCCTAGAACTCTTCTCCAGTAAAAGTATTTCGCTTGTCTTTTCTGTTTAACATCCTGTTTGCAGGGAAATTCTGGGGCACAGAGAAATCTTCTTTATTACTCTGTTGTGTTTGAGACTGGTTTATACTTGCAACAGAATGAGAACGATCCTGAGGTCAGGTAATGATACAGGTTTCTAGGAAAAAAATGCAACAGCTTCTTCAAAATATACCCTATACAAATCAGGGTAATTTGCAGAAGAAAACAATTGGTTTTCATTGGATTTTTTTCCACCTTAGCAAGTGATCTAATTTAGCAACTGAATATTACTAGTATTGAATAGGCAGCAAAGTTTTTAAAAGTATGCTAATTTTCTATGCAAATGAGGGTAAACGGGCTTATATTTAATGAACCATATTTAACAAATGCATCTTATTTTTTTGTTCCAATATACTGCAAGTATCTGACCTGAAATACCCATGGGGGGAAAATTGCAAGCTCACGCGATCTCACTTTTTGTGCAAAAATTTCATTGGAATATTTATGGCATGTGCTTAAAGGGAAACATGGGAGTGCCCAGAACCCTCCAAAGTCAGAAGATGGTGAGCATCTGATTTTGCTGCCTCTCCCTCCTTTGCACCCTCTGGATTCTACAGAGTATCTTGGGACTGAACTCCTGCAGCCCACCCTTCGCACACTCCCCCCGGAGGCCGCATCTTCAGAGCCCAACTGGAGCGGAAAGAGCTGGCACCAGCGGTGAGGCGGAGGGAAGCCCCCCGGGGTCAGAGTCCCCCTCTGGCCTCAGTGCACTTTTCTGGGGTCACCCCTGCCCCCAGTCCCACAAATCAGGCCAGGAAGCCACAGGATCGTACCCAAAGAAATGGAGACAGGGACGACTCGCTGAGAACGGGTTTTAAATCAATCAAATAAATGGTCGCAGTAGCCTGGCAAGCTCTCGTCTCTCCCGTCCAAGTTTCATTTTCATCCACGGAGCTTGCTGCGCATTTTCCGTTTGCCAGTCGCTACTGGAGAGTGCCACTTCCGGAGCAAAAGGTATGCTCATTTCAAACATCCTACACTTACTTTCTCCCGTGCCCATTCTTGAATTCATTTGGTCTCCATTTGTGGTTACCAATACACTTCTGAAACAAAAACATGTTCGTGGAAAAACTAACCACTGGAAAAGGGGGTGTTTGGGGCTTGCACCCCACCCCCAGGTAGGGGGCTGGTGCCAGACCCGTGTAAACTGGGCAGCTGGAGTTCCACATTTCAAGCTGCAGGTAGCTTGTGAAAGCACAAAACAAACCCTGGCGCTTCTGGGAGAGAGGTTTTGCAAACCTGCTGCTTAGCACGTTTGTTTCCTTCTGGCAAAGAGTTGTTTTTTGTGTAACAAAATATCACTCTGCACCTGAAATCTAAAATGGCACCTTTTTTTAACCAATTCATCCCATTGTCTTCTGCTACATTTGGTCCAGGTGAAAGAAGGCGCCTTGCTTCTTTTGGGTCTTCACTGCGGAGTATCTAAGTGCAGCTGGCTGTTCACCCTTCCATTATTTCTGGAGGGTGTTTTCCAGCACGGCACCTGTTCTAGGCTTTCCTCCACCAGGCAGGCCTGGGCTGTGATTTTCCTTCCTTGCCTCTGAAGGCACCCACTGGTGCAGGAAGACGGGCAGAGGAGTCAGCAATCTGCCCTTCTCTTTGCATTGCTTTTTCTAGGAATGTGCGTTCCTTTAGATAGCAAAACCAATTACGTGCAAGTAAAACTTTATTGTCACTTCCTCCTCGCCAGAGCCTATAGTTGAATGGATGCCAATGAGCAGATGGAGCGAAGAGGTCCCACGGCTGATCTCCACAAAATCTGCCATTTCAACGTGGCAAGATGTGGGTGGTGTCAACGGTATTTTGCTCTATCCTCGTTGCATCAGTTCAATTTAAAAATGAGCATGCAGAGAGAAAAGAGGAAAGGAAGTCTCTCACTCTTTCTCTCTGTGAAGCCAAGAAGAAGAAGATGAAGAAATGCACTGAAGCATTTGCTGGCCTCCGAAGCCACCCTGGAGTGCCAGAGAGCCAGCCTCCGCTGGATTGTGGATCTTAATTTTGGAGCTGTGAGTTGCTTGGACTGAATCCAGGATGTCAGATTGCTTTGAGGGATTTGGAAAGACCAAGAGGGCGCACTCGATAGCCACCTCCCTGAAAAGTGTAGGGAGCATTTCATGCACAATGTGACTCTCTGGCTTTGCTAGCAAAGGGGTGGGGGCAGGGGGGTCAGGACGCGCTCACCGAGGGGGGACTGGTTGAACTGAGTGAGACTAACACTGGGCACCACCCAAGGGAAGTGTAACAATTGGAAAACAGCAAGATGCCAAGCAAGTTCAGTCAAATGGGAACGTGCAACGGGATGGACCTGGAAACCTTTGGGAAGTGAAACCTGGCTGCATTGAGGCTCCAGCTGTGGAGCGCATGCGATTTCGGGGCTGCAGAGGGGGCAAATTTTGGCCCAGTGGGCACCTGTTTTCACTGCTGCAACTCATGTCCGGAACGCCTCTACGTTTGTCCATTTGGCTCTGCATACCCTCTCCAGATTTTACTCTAAGCTTTGAAGGCATGCGCCATCTTGCCAAACCTCTTGGGGCCTGAATTCAGCGCCATGGCCAGCTCTGCAGAAATGTAGGGTAAGATCTGCGGAGGCTGGACTCAAGGCTGGACTGCCCGTTTCCATCACAGATGCACTGGCAGGCAGAGCTTGGCTAGAGGGTCATTTGCTTGCTTGTTCATAGGATTTCATTTTTACCTTGCCCTACTTCTAGAGAAGGCTCCTGGGAAAGCAGAGTTAGGTTAATAACATGGTCAGTCATTTCCTTTCCCTTCCAACTCCTCCCATATATTCATTGTGGGAATTCATTGCTGGGTCATGCTGTACTCATGTACGCCACGAAGACCAAGAGTATTGTAATTTACCTATGTAACCATATAAGGCATGTAACCATATAAGGCTTGTAACCATATAAGGCTTGTAACGTAAGCATTAAGGTGTTGGCTGCTTGTATTCGATGGCTAATTGGCTATATTCAAATGCCTAGGTAAAAAGTGTGAAGTAATAAAAGTAGATGCCGGTGGTGAGGAGGAAAAGAAGAAGAAGAAAAAACTTTGGGAGAAGTTCTTTGTTGTTCTCCCCCTGCAACTAAACCGAGCATGCTTTGTAACTGATTTCTGGACTGCAGTCTTTCTTTCTTTCTTTAAACTTTTTCGTGCCATTTTGTCCAGGCTGGCTGGCTGGCTGGTCAGCTCGCGACAATTCAGTTGAGAGCTCTTCCAATGAAATGGATTGGCAGTAGATTTAGGACAGATAAAAGGCAGGCCTGCTTCACACAGAGCAGAGCTGACCCAGAAAACTAGGCCCTACATGGCTTGGGACCACAATACCTGATCGGACGCCTCCCCAAGCAGTACAATCAACCTCTGGGCTTAGCTCCGATTGCCACCTCCAAGGGAGGCTCAGTTGGTGGCACAAAGAGAAGGGACTGCTCTGTGGTGGCCCCTCCCCAGTTTTGGAATGCATTCCCTGGTGCCAACCTTTTGGCACCAAGTTGAAACAAGCCTCTACTGCAGAACATTTAATGAGCTCCCTGGAGCTTCTTAGCTGCTTTAACAGGTCTGAAGATTGACTTTGTTTAAGCTATTGTCACATTTACAGGTGCCTTTAAATTTGGTTTTAAATTTTGGTATGATCACCTTTTTATGATGGTTTTTTTTTTAATGCTGGATCTATTTTATACAGTATTTTTATGTGTTGCTGTAAACCACCCAGATGGCTTCAGCTATTTAGTGGTGTGGAACTTAATCCAATAACTAATGACTTTGCAGTCAAAGATTTGATTTGACCTTGAGAAAGATGACTTTAAATAAGGGAGTTAGCAGGCTTGGAGCGGGTTAAGTCTATCTGGAGTTGTGTTGTGATGGTGGCAAGCTGATTTGAGGATCAGTGAGAGAGAGCCTCCCTGGATACCAAGTTCCAGGAACAGTCGTTGTGGTTTTTTAGTTGCAAAGTCATGCCTTCACGACCCCATGGACAACATTCCTCCAGGCCTTCCTGTCCTCCACCATCCCCGGAGTCCACCTAAGCTCACACCAACGGCTTCAGTGACCCCATCCAGCCACCTCATCCTCGGCCGTCCCCTTCTCCTTTTGCCGTCAATCGTTCCCAGCATTAGGCTCTTCTCCAGGGAGTCCTTCCTTCTCATTAGGTGGCCAAAGCATTTGAGCTTCATCTTCAGTATCTGGCCTTCTAAAGAGCAGTCAGGGTTGATCTCCACTAGGACTGACCGGTTTGATCGCCTTGCGGTCTGAGGGACTCAGGAACAATCCTGAGAAAGGGTATTTCCAGTGGCACCTCCAAGGAACTTGGGTCATCTTGGTGCAGTGGAAAGTTGTGCCAAAGGACTCTTCCAAACACTCTTTAATAATGCCTTTCTTTAAAAAGGGAAGGTTTTCTCATTTAGTGCAATCTGGATCCAGAGAATGAAGAATGGACTTCTGGGTGATTTCTCAGGTGCTGGCTGAGCGGTACGATCCATAGTCAGCTTCACCTGCAAACTGCAAAAGCCATCATTTTGTCCTAGCTTTGGAGTTCAACTTCGGAGAGGAAAGAGTGCTAAGAATGCTTCAGATGGGTCCACCGGGGTCACACACTTCCATCTGACTCATCGATCGGGTCTTTTGGTTAACCTCATTCTCTCTTTGTAGGTCGACCGGACGGAGACCGCTGTGAACAATCTCAACCCAGCCTTTTCCAAGAAGTTCATCATAGACTATCGCTTTGAGGAGGTCCAGAAGCTGAAATTCGCCTTGTTTGACCAAGACAAATCAAGCATGCAGCTGTATGAACATGACTTCCTGGGGGAGTTTGCCTGCACTCTGGGGACGGTGAGTGTCACGTGCTGCCGGGTATGTGTCACAGATCGTTCAGCAAAGGGGGGGCCAGGTTCCAAGCCCCCCAGCAGATCCCTGAAACCACGGATAGTAGGGAGCACCACATGCATGGGGGTTAGGAGCAGGACCCCTGGAAAAGGAGGGTGGCTACAAGAAGGAGGGCCTTTCCAGGAGTGGTACCGACCATGGAATGAACCCCAGAGAGGCTCACCTGGCGCCATCTTTGGATGCTTTTCGCACCAGGCAAAGACCTTTTTACTCTGCTAGTATTTTGATGGTTAAGCTGGTTTTTAATGTTATTTTAACAGAAGGGGCTTGTCTTTTAGGCACTCTGGAGTTCTGGTGGGTGCGTTTTAATGGTAGTTTGATTGTCATTTTAATGTATGAGGTGTTTGCTCCAATGGAGCAAAGCTCAGGGAGCCAAGGTTCCATTTAGATAACAGGAAGCACTTCCTGACAGTCAGGACCCCAAGGGTATGGAATGGGCTTCCACGAGAGGTCGTTGAGGCCCCATCGGTGCGGGTGTTCAAGGACAGGCTGGACATTGCACATGGTGGGCATGTTGTGAGCAGAGCCAGCTGGTGCTGGAGATCAGACTAGATGGCCCAGGAGGCCCCTTCTGACTCGCTCTGTTTTCTATGTTTTTCTATGTTTTCTATGTTTTTATTGAATTGTTTTATACTGTCTGATAAGGTCTTACTGTTGTAACTCATCCAGAGAACCATGTAGCTAGTGGAATGGATTAGAAATTAATTAATTAAATACTGGAAAAAACAGGAATATCTCTAGGGAAACGCCCCACATATCTCTAGAGTCTTCAGGCCCATTTGAAGACAAAACAGGTGAGCAAGGCTAGCTAGTACCAAGACAAAGAGTGTGGCGTCCCTAAACAGAGTGTGTATTTCCCTAGCAATAGTCGTGTTTTGCCCACCTTCATGAGGGTCCTTTGCCCCTAAGCCCTGCAGAGGTGGACCCACCATAACTGAGACGGTGGATACGGAGGTCCCTAGAGGAGGTGCTAGAGCAGTGATGGCAAACCTGTTAGAGACCGAGTGCCCATTCTGGAACCCAGAACTCACTCACTTATCACAAAGGGCCAACACGGCAATAAAACCTGGATACTGAGGTTTCAGTTTAGAAAAACAACTCATAGCCAGTCCAAGCATATATCTGTCTGTCTGTCCGTCCATCCGTCAGTCTGTCCTTGGCAGTGCACCCACCGGCCATGCGAAAGCTCGGACGAGTTGCAGCTAATGAGTCGCAGCTCGTGGCATCATCGCCTGGCGCCACTACTCCTTTCCAAGCGTGCGCCTGGCCTCCGAGTGTGCTGTTATCCGATGCTCGGCTGCTGGGGCGCTGCTGGGGCGAGTTGGCTTGCGTGCCGACAGAGAGGGCTCTGTGTGCCGCTGTGGCACAGGTGCCGTGGGCTCACCACCACTGTGCTAGAGCATTTCCCAGAAGCAAAGGACTGTAGTTTATTAAGCCTTTAAGAATGCTGGCAGAACCCAAGTTTCCATGTTTCTGACTGCAGTCCGTAGAGGGACATGGCCCATTTCGCACTGCCGTGGTCCTGCGTGGCTGTGGCCAGGAGAAACCTCAGGGAAGCCGGAAGGTAACGCCTTGGTTTTTGCAAGAACGGTGGCTAGGCAGCCTGGTCCAGGCAGACTCTAGCCTTGGGAGCATGGAGCAGTGGTGGTCTTTATATTGGTTCAGTGCCATCTTTATATTTCGGTTAAATGCCAGCTTAGATTCGGCAATGCACCCGGTCCATTCTGTGACTGGGTCGAAGGGAAGGCCCACTTTTTGCATGATGTCTGGAGAACTGCTGCAGACCGAGAACCAGAAAACCAGGGAATCTGGGGAGGAAGCGCCCCTTCACCGGAGGCATGAGCTGAGGGCTGGCATCAGAAGGAAGAGCATCTCCTGAGCTGCCCTGTGCAGGTGCCGCTTCCCACCGTGTGCTGTTTACCCGCATCTGTCGCTTTGCCGCAGCCGCCGGGTGTTTTCTCCAGACCCAAGACGCTCATGAGCAAATATGACATTTCATCTTGAGCACAGAGTCTGTCACTTGGCCGAAGCCAACGAGCGAGTAAATGTTTGATGAGGGATTTGAACCTTGCCCACATCATACATGCATTCTGCTTGGGGGTGGATGAGAAATCCAGTTCTGTTCAGTTTGGACCAGGATTTACCCATTTATTCATTGATTTGCTTTGTATCCCACCCTTTTTCTTACCAAAAAAATCAAAATACAACGCCTCCTGTTCTCAGTCTTACTCCACAACAACAACCTTGCAAGGGAGGTTGGGCCGAGAGTCTGTGACTGGCGGAAAGTCACCCAGTGGGGTTCATGACTGAGCAGGAACTAGAACCCAGGTTGCCTGCGTTCTCAACCACTACACAACACTAGCTTTCCGTTCACACCTTCTGGACTGAACGTGGACTTGAGTGTGATGCGTGGTTACTGCCCAGAAAGATCTAAGCTTACAGTGGGTGCACTTGAGGAAACGTGTGGTCCTGAACAATGCACAAGAACATGCTTCGGTCTGTAGGAGTGGAATGTGGTGATGGGCGCAATGCAGGCACACGCTTTGCCGGCACCTGAATGCACCTAAATTGGAGGGACTGGGGTACCGGAGAGAGTGGAGGACTTAGCAGGATGCAAGCGGGCCGGAAGCAAAGGCCAGATGCAAAGCCTGGTGAGATACCAGCAAGGAGATGCGGGGATGTAGCCCGAGCAGCCGACTCTGCCGCATGATTGCCCTGGCCCCAGTCCTGCAAGTATGTACACCTCCAGGCTTGATCCTGCAGGCACTTGCAGGTGAATTGCGCTGCCCCTCACTGAGGGGGCAATGGCAGAGCTGTGGATCCTGACATGTTTTTGGCAATACGCACAACTTTTCAAGCAGACAGAAACCCACCCCAAAGCTTGCAATCCGATTATGGACTCAAAGTGGAGTGAGATTCAGTGTGGACTTTGGACGGCTTGAGCAAGGCCGATTTGCACCTCCGTTTGGAGAACTGTCATATAATCCCTTTTGTGTGTCCCTCCCCCCCCCCCAGATTGTTTCAAGCAAGAAGATAACGAGAGCACTTCTTCTGGGGAACGGAAAACCAGCTGGAAAAGGAATGATAACGGTATGGTTTGAGTTTGTTTATTTAATTTATTTAATTAAGATCACGATCCTGTGCAAGCTTAGATGGGAAAAATGGCTTACAGATCCCAGCATCCCCTAAGAAGCGTAGTTGTGCTGGCAAGGATGTGCTGGGAACTGAGGTCCTTTTTCCTGTCTGGTCAGGCACTGGATTGCATTGCACCCAATCTGTGGATTCCTTGGCTGCACCTAAAAACCGTTCCCAAGGTGGTTTGCGAGATAAACATTCGAAACACAAAATGTCCACTGCGAGAACATTTAAAAAACAGGAGATGGAAAACGTCTTGTTAAAAACATTGATAATAGCAACAAAAAAGCAAACTCCATTCTTAATGAAAAACACTCAGCATTGGAGAACGAACCATCATTAAAACTCAGTGCAAGCAATGAGAAATACAATCCCATTTAGTCTAATGTATGCCCCATTCTTTTCAATGGCTTTACTCTAAGTAGGACAAATGCAGAACATTTATTTATTTATTTATTTATTTATTTATTCATTTATTTATTTAAAACTTTTACATACCACGCACTATTGAGGTCTCTGGAAGGTCTTACAATAAAACAAAATGGAGCATCCAAATTGATTTTCTAGATAATAAAACCCCACATAAAACCCCAGACTCAAACCTTAAAATAATGGGAAAATAAAAAGTTTTTAGCCTGGCACCAAAAAGAATAAAGTGTCTTTAAAAGAATACAATCCCAAGCTTTGACTGGAAGGGTTACAAACATTTAAAAGTCATTTATTTTGAGCACTTACATACCATTCTTTATCCTGCCTTCTTTTTTCTTGGAAAGGATTCGAGGCAGCTTAGAAGCAACTGGCCAGTTCTCTGAGTGGGATGGTGTAACTGGGTGTCCGGCACTAGCAAGGGTTTGGACTGGATGGCCGACTCTTCTGTGGTTCTGTGAGGGTCTGTCTCCTTCACAAAACTATCCTCACCACAACAACCCTGTGAGGTAGGCTAGACTGAGAGGCAGTGACAAAATCACCCAGTGAGCCTCATGGCTGAGTGAGGATTAAAACCTGGAGTTTCCGGATCCCCAATCCAGCCCTGTAAGGCTCACAGTCGTAAAGATTCCCCAAGCAGCTTAGCTACAACCAGTAACGCAAGGCAGTCCTTGCAACCAGAGAAGACAACATGAAAGGGGGAAAGGATGGGAAAAGAAAAGGAAGTTCCACTGTATACAAAGATATAAAATCATGCATATCAATGTACACATGCGGCTGTATTTCTTGTGCAACTCTCTGCGAATCTGTCCGTGCCATCCGGATACATCGCCAAAGAGGGCTTGCTTTCCATGGCGGCGACACACGGTGCCTGCGCTGAAAGCGATGGGGACAACTACCTAGCAACAGGTTCCTTAGCAACCACTTGTCTCTGCTCTCGGCTCGGCACACGGAGCGATGCCGCTTCCACTCTAGACACAACTGGCAAGTTTTGCCTGAACAAAAATCTCTTGTCTCTCACTGTAAATGGGCGTAAAAACTAGCTCCTGACGCACAACCCCATGGGTCCAGTGTGCGTTAGATCCCTGCCGCTCGGGTCCCACCTGGTGCACTTGCAGACTGCCGGGGTTGTGGGGACTGGTGCGCAGGTCCCGTTGGGTGCACAGAAACCGGGTTCCAAAATGTGCACAAGCAAAGAACCGCACTAAAGTTGCGCTCGTGCAAGCGTGGTTGCCCGGGCGGTTGTGCTTTCGGGGCAAGTGGCACGCCGTGTAACTAGTCGCCCGCCGCTCCCGTGCATCGCACGTGGGGTCCCCGTTGGCGTTCGTTGTTCCGTTCATTGCACAAGCCTGTGTGTCCTCTCTCTGGGACCCCTTGTGGAGCCACATGCAGTGACGGAGCCGCTCCTGTTGCTTGCGCAACGGCAGGACAAGATGCAGCCAGGCTCCACAAACGCGGTTGGAACTGTGGAATGACACCGTTGGGCACTGGCCTGATTCTGCCCTGAAAGTAAGGGAGGAGAATGGGGACGGTCCAGAGCAGGTTTGATGGTTCTGGTCGCCTGCTGAAGAGGCGAGCTTCTCTTCCGCTTAGGTTTTAAGATGAAAGTGGGGAAGGACCTTGCATCTTGAGCAATGTGAGGGGCAAGAAATTTTATACAGCTAGAATAAATTGCCGATGGCTTGCAAAGAATGATGCAGGGTTGGAGAGGGCATCTGTCCCCCGCCCTTTCCTTGCCGGCTCATTCCTTATCCAGCACAACCGAGGCAGGGACAAACTGTGGGCCAAATGCTCTAGAGAGCCACAGTTCCTATCAGCCTTACCAGGTAGACTCTGGTAAGGGATGATGGGAGTTGGAGGGCAGCACAACTGGAGAGTCACCAGTTGCCTGCCCCGACGTCACCTGTGCAGGTGTGTCCACCCTGTGATGAGGCATTTTCTATTACCAAGACTTTCCATCCAGCCAGAAGGGGGGAGAGCATGTAGAAAGGACGTCGCGCAGGAAAGCAAGCCCCGTTTCCTTTGCTTTGCAATCCGCCAGCCTGCAGCCTGGCTGAATCTTGCTTTTCAGTGGGACTTTTCTAGTTGGTGGAGCAAACGAGGGGCTTGCAAGCACATCAGACGCGCCTGTGAACTGCACCCAAACCTCCATGGACACGCGCCCTGAGAAGGGCGTGGAGAGACCGAGGAACTGCTCAGGGCCGGTCCATCTTAGCATGGTTTGAGGGCTACCTGACCACTGGCTGGATGAACACTAGACCCACAGTTTTGGAGGCGGAAGCGTGTAAAAGTGAGTCTTGCACAACCAGGTGCCTTAAGTCAGCGGTTTCCAACTTTTCCACCTCCGGGGACCGGCGAAAACAGGAAAAGCACCTCGGGGACCACTGAGGCAGAAGCAAAAAAGCACCGTACACATAATACAGTGTTCTCTGTATCGGTTTGCAAACACAATGCCCCCAAAATGAAAATTCTCCAAAACAACCAGAAACAGCAACCAACAATGCCAACAGAAGAACGGAATCCTGGGAGCGCCGTGGGCACGGACTGCAGGGCCACACGGAGGTCGGTGCGCACGGTCCCCGCTGCTGCGATCGGCCCCGTCTTTTCACAGGCAAGCGACCTGTTCCGGTGTCTGACTGGAGGCATGGAAGGGGAGAGGGGACTGGAGCTTCCTTCCCTGTGCGCGCGCGCACACACACACACACTTGTGCAGCGGAAACTGCCTGTGTGTGTGCAGTCTCTGCAGACGGTGCGAACAGGGTTGCGTTCCTTGCCCCTGGAACCCGTTTGGGGACACATGCTTCCCAGGATTGCCCTCGGGCTGCCACCACTTCGGAGCAAAACCGCCTTCCCGGAGGCTGCCGAGGAAAGTGGTTGCGTTTAAAGCAAAGTTCCGCTCCACATGCGCCTTTTTCAGCGGTGAAGTGGAAGTTGTCCCTGCACTGCTGAATTTCAGGAGCACGTGCAGCATGGTTTCTGCAACCACATGGGGGGCAGAAAGGGCCCACGGGCTGAGCGTTGCCCACCCCCCTAGATAAATCTAGGGTGCCATATAGGGGCTTCATGGCATTCCCACTGGTTTGAGCCGCTCTGTGCAGATGCTCGTACAGGGCCTTGCTCAGTGGTGAAATCCAGTGCAAATCACACCCCGCGTTAGTCGTAGTAGATGTTGCCGTCTCTGGTTATTCGTTAAGTGAGTCACTTTCTATAAAAGTGGTCTTTAATATGCTGCAGCGGTGCAACAGCTGGGAAGCCTGAGGCAGAGCCAAATGAGGACAGTGCGGAAACTGATTCGGTGCCTGTCAGTTCGCATTATGCCAAGATCGTTTGCAGCGCTTCCCTCGTCCTCCGCTCCGGCGTTTCGTTCGCAAATGTCTTTATGCGCAGGACAGTTTCTTTTCTCTTCTGCCACCTCTCTCTTCCAGCATGGCACCGCAACTGGTTGTGCTGGGCATGTGGAACCATCCCAGGTGCCCTCACGAACCCTTGTGGGAGCCTTGAGGTAATTCGATTAGAGAATTTTCCGTTTTACTCTCAGATTTGCTGGTAGACAAGCTTAAAGCCACTTGGACAAGCTACTGGGGGAAAAGGGCCATTTATCCTTGCAGAAAAGTGTGTGTGTGTGTGTGGGGGGTAACCGCTCACATTGTTAACCTGCTTGTCACACAGAAAGCAGCCATTTTAAAAAACCTTAATGGAGTTCCATCTGGCTGTTTAATTAGAATAAGCCGGAAGATGCTTGTTTTCATATTTCTGTGGACAGACAGTCTTAATAGAGCCTTAATTATGTATATTACTGATGGCAAGTTTTGTCTTGTTGTAACACAGCATCTAAATGCTTCTCCTAGTGATGTGATCTTTCTAAATGCTAAAAAATAATGGTGCTAGTACTCATGATAATATCCTGTTTAACCGTGAATAAACTGGCATCTGGAAAAACTGAAGATACACCCTCCCTGGAGACCCCCTCTTGGCCGGTCTTTGGGGCATCCTTCCCACGTGCCCTGCAGGTGATTTGGACGCTGATCCTCCACACGCTCGTGGGAGTTGCCGTCCAACTCTCCTGGAAGGCGCCACATCAAGGAAGATTGGGTTAGGGATCCTGCATGATACGGTCCCGAACATGCTGCGAATGGAAGTTGCAAAGCGTGGGGTGTCCAATAAAGCACTGCATGTTGCAAGTTGAGTAGAGAGCGAGGCGCATCGCCATTGGAAGTGCTCCCACGCCCAGGGTCTGGATTTTGGAATTCAAATGACATTGCCTTGCAGAATACGGCTGGACGGTGGGGTCGCAGCCTGCAGATTGTCTCTCAGTCTGAGCTGCCTGTCCTGAGCTAATAGTCAGCGCTCGTCATAGGATACGCTTTCTGCAAGGGGCCAGCGATATTTGCCCCTTTGCCCACCGACTCACACGCCCACGTTCTGCGCGTGCATGCCCACACGTGCGGGTATCTCTTCCAGCCTCTTCTCTCCCAGGAGAGAGAAGCAACAACAAAAAGCAGCAGCCTTTGTGTGGGGGGGGGGGGAGC